CTAAGCTATAACTACGCAGTCACAGGAATAGGGCTGCAACAACGAATCGATAAATTCGATGAAAATCGATTACTAAAAGCGTTGGCAACGAATTGCGTCATCGATTCGTTGTGTTGCACAACTCTTCCAAAAGCGCCCCCCCCTCCCGCCCGCCATTGCGCGCAGACCAGAGCAAGTCAGATCAGCGCGAGGGAGAGCCGGCAGATCAGCGCGAGGGACAGCCGGCAGATCAGCGGGAGGGAGAGCCGCAGATCAGCGCGAGGGAGAGCCGGTACCGGCAGATCAGCTCGAGGGAGAGCCGGCAGACTTGCGCTGCTGCGAACCGGTTCCGCATTGTTGCGCAGCGATCCAGGCAGCTGCTTCCAGCGCACGGTCCATTCTCAAAGTGGCGCAACCAAAAAACTATAATTAGCACACGATCGTTCATGTCCGCACATGTTCTCTATTTTCTGTCTTATTTGTGCCTGAAGCGCGCTACTGCGGAGCTCATCACCTGTGCTGTGGTGATGTCACCTCACGCAGCATCGAAAACGCGCTCTGAGCTTTTCGGTCAGGAGATTCCTTTGATCTGCTCAAAAGTAACTGATGAGGTGAAAAGGTAAGAATCCAGGCAACAGATTTTCTGGAGAATTAAGAGGAGATGCAGGAAGATGAGAGACAGACAGGACAGGAAAATAGTTCAATAAAAACAAGAAAACAAAACAAAGTGTTGAAAAGTAAAATGTAGGTAGATTTATCACCACTACACGTTTTTACCAGTTAAAAACAATGAGTTATACACATGTCATATTTATACAGCTGATACAATTCAGATCACCTTCAAAACTCAGTCACACACCCAGGGCCGTTTCAAGACATTTTGGGGGCCAAGGCAAAAGGCCCCCCCCCCCCCCCCCCCCCAATAACTGGGCTCCCCAGAAGCCTCTGTGTAATTCATGCCCTCTCCAGTAGTGTTAGTTATATGGTGTTTATAAAAGCCCCTCAGACATTACTGACATGTTCTAATATTATCAGATGAAAAACTAAATTATCAGACATGCTGTCTCATCTGCTGCTTTTCTAAACTTGCAAAAAGTAACAAAACCATTTGAAAGCCACTATTTGTGGATTCTCTGAAAGTTTCCATGAAGTGTGTGACAACTTATTTTTTTCATTGATCCTATCGTCTAATCTCACAGCTGAAACAAGTATCCTTAATAATCTGTGCACAGGAAGCTTACCGATGCTGTAGTAAAACAAAAGGTATAATAATTTATTATTAATAAAAACTTGTTGCAGCACTAAAGCAGAAAAATTAGATTTTGCATTAAATATGCAAAATATTTACATATGAATTGTTTTAGAGCCCTTTAATTGGCAGAATCTGATATTAATTTAGTTCTTACAAAAAATGGGTCCCAACATGGTTTGTGTGGCGTTGCCATAGTGTGACGTCATAGGCACAGATCCCCTGTCCTCTTGTTTGGAAATGGAAATATGGTCACCCTACATTAAACAAACTGTCCACCCGGGCTTTTGCACTGCACAGAGAAGCTTCGCTGCCTACAACTGAACGTCAGTTGAGAGTCAGTCTCATGCAGACTGACCAATGAAGAGAGGGCCTCAAGTTAAGACCCTCTCCTCATTGGTCAGTCCACACGAGGTGGGTCAAAGGTTACTCTGGGTGGCTTACGTGTTGTCAGGCATTCAAGTATTGAGTATATTTACTGCATATTACAGTAAAATATTCTGTATGTGACCACATTATGGTGATCCTTGGGTCGTGATGATGGAGCCCTTGAATATTGTTGCCCAGGGTACAACAAAGTGTTAATCTGGCCCTGGTTCCGCCGTCACATTCCCGCAGAAACTGGTTGATCACACCGGGGCCAGACTACTAGTATGTGGTTTTACAACCACAATGTCCTCGGAAGCAAAAACGCTTTTAAAAGGGAGGGAGGAGTCCTAACTGTTGCTGCAGGCGTGTTGTGTGAGAGTGCAGTTATATACTGGTTAATATATTTTTGGGTTCAGTTGCTTTCATGTGGCCTAATGTGAGTCTATTTGGGATCATTGGAATGATCAGCAGCATTTCTTGATGTGACTTTATGGCAGTTGCCCAGGGCATCATCGCAAGGAGGATGGCATTCATTTACTTTTGTTTTATTTGGTATTTTTTCAGTCATTTTTGGAAATAGTGATCAATTTTGATTAATTCACAGCCTATGTTTAATTACATTTAAAATAAATGTCAACAGATGAGATCAAGCAAAACAGATGAGAATTGCCCTTAAGCTGTTTAACTTGGACCAAGCATTTTAGGTCACAGATAGATGTAGCTTAGGGTCTCTGTCTATACACCTTATAAGACAATTTAGGTGATGGCATGTTGTTTTTCTGCTATTGAACTGTTTTCTAATAATGTTGTGTTAAATAAAGTGAAGGAAGGAGAGAAATAACATTTCCCTAGCAGTTTTTAAAAATTTCCCCATGTAATCCGATTAATCGATTAATCGTGTCGAGACCCCATCCGATTCATCGATTATCCAAATAATCGTTTGTTGCAGCCCTACACAGGAATGAATAAATAAGCAGTTTAAAGTAAGGGAAAGCTGTAGAGAAGACGAAGAAGAAATTGCGAATTACTTTTGTTACGTTTTGTTCCTGAAGCGGATTCACTCCCTTATGGTTACGTGCAGCCAGCGAGGTACGTTAACTGTGTTTATTTATAGCGTATTTGTTAACTTGGGTTAATGTTTGTTGTAATATTTATGTTTGGTTATTCTGTACTTTGGTGTAATGACAGTTTGACGGTGGATTAATGGTGTTTTGGAAGAGAAGTGTGAAGGAAGAATAAATCCATCAGTGAATGAAGAACCGTGGTGTCGTCTATTAACCGGAGGGAGCGAAAATGCCGCTAAAATTATTCCACTGAAAAATCTAGGATGGTAATTTAGCATGAGCTCTGCTTGGCTGGAACTTAAAGCTCTGGCGAAACTGGGGAGCGTAAGAAGTGACTTCTCTTTTACGAAGTGATTGTTTATAAACTTTGGACTAACCAGATCTGAGAAATTTATATAGGAATTTACCAAGACCCTCAGGTGTCACACATTCCTAAGGCACTCAGAAGAGGCTTACTTCACTTAATGTGATGCAAACGTGTTAAACATTCATTTGTTAATACTGATATTAATATGTGAATGCAACTGATAATAAATCATTATTAAATCATCCAGTTGATGAAACAGAATGTGATTGCAAATAACTTGTAATGTTAGGAAATCATTTTATGGGGCAACATAATAAACATTTTACTAAAAGGGAAAAGGCTCGACTTTTGCATGAGACCATATAGTTTGCAGCTCCTTGTAAACACGGGAGATTATTTAGGCAAAGTATCCAGATGGGACAGCTAGAGAGGGGGTACTGTTTTGGTACGGAAGAACACAATTTTCCTAGGCTGTGGACACATAATCTTGTTGGACTTCTCCAACGCTACATCCATAATATAAACGTACCACCAAAGTTTATAATCACTGCAACCCTGACTATACCACCACCAAACAGTACAGCATGTACCAAAGAAGCTGTGCTGCAGCATTGTTGTTGTTCCATTCCTTCGGCCATTTTTCACATTTTTTTTTTACTCCATCTATTTCACTCCCACCAGCATCTGTTTTAATAATAATGCATTGAACTTATATAGCGCTTTTCAAGACACCCAAAGACGCTTTCACACACTCTCACATTCACACACTGCTAGTGATGGTAAGCTACTTGTAGCCACAGCCGCCCTGGGGAGGTCTGACAGAGGCGAGGCTGCCATTTGGCGCCGTCGGCCCCTCTGACCACCACTAACACAGGCAAGTTGGGTGAAGTGTCTTGCCCAAGGACACAACAGCAGGATACCCCTGGCGGGCTGTACTTACTTTTCATGTTTCTTATGGAGAAATGATGATGGTAACAACATCCGGTGAGATACCAGAACTAGCAATGTGTTGGAAAAGAGTTCTTTGCAGCTGCTTTCATACTAAACCTCTTATTGTTTTTTTGTTTTTGGAGGACATGTAGAATAAACAAACAAGATCACAAGCATGACATTATTACATTAAGTCATTTAGCAGAAAAGTCTATCACAAAAGGTGTGAAGACATAACCGGATTAGCGTCTCCGGCTGAAGTGCACCCTCCCAACATAGGGAAACAGAATATTTCCGGGGACTGAGTTTCTCACATGGCCTCTTCTCCATCAACGTGTGCATCTGTGTATACAGAAGCAGGTGTCTTTGGGGCTACCGTGCACCTTTCAGCAGAGGCATAACTGTGCTTTGTCATAAAATAGTCCCAAGTCTAAAATGGCACCTGGGATTGCTTCATATTACTAATTATTTTTCCCTTGCAGTCAGTCTGATCATTAAAGGTCACCAAGCAGAACTGGGGTCACTACTGAGGGATGTTAAGGAAGTTTTTAATCACAATGTTAGTTAATGTTAATCACAATGGATTCATTCACTTACTGTGTTTTATGCTAAGCTAAAGCTAAAGGAGTACAGCTGGGTCAGGAGAACGACTGGACTGGTTACAAATTGGTGTTTCCCATTTATCTAACGCCAAAATATGTCAGCAGACAAAATTTAAATTTTCAGTTACCGTAGAGTAATGAAGTTGATATTGGTTTGCTTAAACAATGTAACTCTGCATCACATTGTATTAACCATGGGTTGCCATTTCAGTTGAGCCTGCTCAAGAATTTTACAAACTCTCTCTCTAATTTCCCTCTGGGATTAATCAAGTATTTTTTAACTGAATTTTGAAACAAATGAAAGGCAACAGAGAAAAAAAGCTTTTATCAGGTAAAAGAACTAACGCCACATCATGCAGGACGTGTTGTCAAATCAGCTAACCGTACCCCTATCGTTGTAATCTCGGGCTCGCTAAATGCCTAAAACGTGTCACTTTCAAAAGTGCATTGTTGTGATGTCACAGTATAAAACATTAACATAGGCACCCCTCCCCCCTCACCTGTTGACCCTGGAGGAGCAGCAGCTCTGTTCTCAGCCTCAGGAAACAGTGAATAAAGGAGCTGGTGTCTGTCTGGTTCTGGTTCATCGTGGTCTCTTTCCTCATCAGCAGGAGTCACAAGGGAGGTAGCCGTCTCCTGCTTCAGTACAAACTGCTCTTCATCCTGACTGATGCTGAGCTCCTCTTGTTCTAGACTCTGTAAAGGTTTTGGCTCATCCTGCTCCACTTTCATCTGTGGAGGTTCTGGTTCCTCCTGTAAAGGTTCTGGTTGTTCCTGGTCCAAACTGGAGGTCCTCTCCTGGTTCCAGAGCTGCTGGTCAGTCAGAACCTCCTCATCTCTCCTGACATAATGCAGCGGGAGTTCTGGACAGACAAACAGACCAGACTAAATGAGGAGTAAGGTGACGATAAGACACACAGGTACTACAGGTTAGTTTTATAGAGACATGAACATCCAGACGGTCCTCAGATGCATCAGTCTCTGATGAAAACAGGACTGAGGATGTTCTCATGGAATCATCTCCCCTTTGATGCTGCTGACAGCTTTATTTGGTCATGTCCACGAACAGATCAGACCAAACAGAACTGTTCTAAACAAGTCTCTGATTGTAGAACATCCGCTGAAAACGTTCACTACGTCTTTAAAGTTTGTCTCTTTTAAACGGATTCAGCGGAGTTCCTGAAAATGTTACTGAAAACTTCCTAAAGCCCCTGAAATGTTACTGCTGTCAAGTGAGACGTCGTTCGTTTGTCCGTGGTCAAGTGAGCTGCACCTACAATTGAAGTGCACATTTACATGGTACTTTACGGCAACACCGTCACGCTGCTGGAGAAGAGCTGAGATGAGCGACAGAAAGGGCTGAAATCATGAATGACAGAGCTGCTAAATGTGCCTTGCAGCTCAGTTGTGTCAAAAAGCTTCAGAGCAGCAGACGGGCCCAAGCAGACTGTCTTGAGATTGTATTCTTAGTAAAACCACACGAGTCCCGCTGCTGTTTCATACCTATTCTGTGTAAGTTGATCTGTGGTTTCCAGCTGATCTCCAGCAGTCTGCGCTGACGATCGATCTCTTCCTCGTAGCGGACGATGGTTTGTTCAAACTCTGAGAATATTTCTGCAGCAGCAGCAGTTAGCCGCTCTCTGATAAACTCTCTCAGAGACTGAGATGAAAACATTGTTGCTGCAGAGCCTCAGAGGTTCACCTCACGCACCGAACAATGACGGACTATGATACTTGACTTGAATAAGCTAACATTGCTAACAGCTTCCGGTTTCTTCTTCTGCCTAAGTCACGCCCATCTACTTCCGGACCACGGGTCGCCAGAAGCGTGTTCGAGTTTTTTTCGAGTTTTTTTTTTTTTACAGGTTTAATTAACTTATTGTCGATACATTTAGAAAATACATTCAATTATTCAATTCATTATATCCATGTATCACATTTTACAGTTGTATACAAATGCAATAACATATATGAAACTGTTAAACAAAAATAAATAAATAAATAAATAAACAAAAAACTGACGAAAACATAAATAACTTAGAAACATAACACTTAGGGGTCTGCTGTGTCTAAGTTGAAATGATGAAATAAGTTTATGGTCTTTGTTAGTTTGTTGTTTTTCTTTTTTAATTTTTCAATGCTGTTCCAATATTTCATAAGGTCTGTAATTCTGAAATTATAGAAGGAGGCGATACTTTTCTGAAAAATCATTTTATGTAAATAATATTTTGCTAAAATAATGACTAAGTTAATTATGTATTTTTCATTGGATGAAAAATGAGGGTTAGTAACAATAAGAAGTATTTCATATTTGCTTAACGAAATATTTTTTTGTAACTTTTTGGAAATGTATCTTTGTAAATGGAACCAAAATAAAGTTACATGAAAGCAATCAACAAAAACACGTTCAATAGTTTCTCCCTTACAACCACAAAAAGTACAGATGTCAGAAACATTTGGAAAAAAATACAGATGTTTGCTTTTGACGGGTAATATCTATGAACAATTTTGAATAAAACTTCTTTTATCTTATTCACAATGACATATTGGTGAGGTAGCAGAAAGATCCTGTTCCAGAGTTTTGTGTTCATCAAAGTCCATCGGTGTTTACATATTGGGGTTGAGACAGGATCAATTGCTTTTCTAATAAGAGAATTATTACATTTCTCATCTGTGATTGGAATCCCAGAAATAGTTGGAGGTCTGACTGCTGCAGATGTTAAATCTTTGAGATGTGCCACACATGAGTTTGACTGAGCTATTGTTGTTTCTATAAAGTGTTTTCACTGCTTTGATGAAAAAATTACCAAAGTTTAAGAAGGTTTAAGTATCAAATATTCATGGTTAATTGTGTCAAATGCCTTTTGAAAGACTAAAAAAAGAATAACTGGGCCCCCAGAGAGTAAATAATTATAATTAATCAAGTCCAAAACTAATCTAATATTGTTGGAAATATGACGTCCAGGTAAGAAGCCATTTTGGGCTTCATGGATAATGTCATTAATTCCATATTTTAGTCGTTTGACTATTACTGAAGCAAGAATTTTGTAATCATTGTTTAATAATGTAATGCCACGCCAATTATCAATTAGAAGAGCATCTTTATTCGGCTTTGGGATTAATGTTATTAGACCTTGTTTCAAGGAGTGAGGTAATTCTTCATTATTTAGGGATTCTATACAGCCAAAAGGAAATTTGAGGTTTCTGCAGTAAACGTTTGGTAAAATTCACCTGTGAGGCCATCATTACCAGGTGATTTGTTGAGTTTAAGATTTCTAATTCCCCATTTTACTTCCTCAATAGATAATGGTTCGTCACACTCTTCTCTGAGAGAGGTGCTTTTGACATTTTCAAGCGAATTAAATATATTGGATGAATCAGAACATGTTTCCATTTTGTACAGATTAGCGTAATATTTGGACACAAATTTGGATATAGTAGTATAGTCTGTTGTTATGGCATTTCCTATTTTTAATTTAGTTAGGGTGCTTCTTTCAATGTTTCTTTTTTCAATGTTAAAAAAATATTTACTGTTTTTCTCTCCTTCTTCCAACCATTTCAGTCTTGATCTTATGAATGCGCCTTTAGCTTTTTCCTTATAAATGTCATCTAATTCAGATTGAAAGGAGTTTAGCTGTAATAATTTTTCATTATCCGTAAGATTCAGAGTAATGTTCGATATACATTTAATTAAAAATTCTATTCTAGCTTTTCTCTTTTTAGCTAAGTCTCTGCTGACACTAATGGCTTGTTTTCTAACTTCATATTTGAACATTTCCCAGTGTTTCCCAAACTCATTTGTAGAGACTGCTTGTTCCCAATATCGTTTTAAAGGTCTGTTTGTAGTTTCTATAAAGCTACTATTATTCAATAAAGAATTACTGAATTTCCAACAGTTAAATTGTTTTGTTTTATGCTGTTGAGAGGGACTACATTTAATAAAAATTGTTTTATGATCTGTCATAATAGTAGGACTTATTTTCACTTCAGTGACCTGTTCATGAAGGTTATTAGAGACCAGCCAGAAGTCAATTCAGGAACAGCACGATAGATCATTATTATTCCATGTGTATTGTTTCGCTGTTGGGTTATGATGTCGCCAGATGTCCATTAAGTTGAATC